ACACACACACACACACACACATATAGTACATACACAACATTTAGGTGGTATATATACAAACAGGTATCTCTGAGGATAACTGTGATTTACAGAGAGACACTGAAGGCAACATTAGGAGGACACCGACATTAATTAACCCTTCAGATCCTAGTTAGTGAGGAGCCGTAAACTGACCACGGAGAGCAGGGCGGGAACCTGAGCAGCTTAAAGATGATTTCCGTGATACAAAGGTGCTGATGACAGATTGATCTGATGATGTGTAAAGGTCGTTAAAAATGTCATTAAAAAGCTCATGCTAGCTTAACGATTAGCATTAGCGTGACTTCTCCTTGGTGCTGGTTAGCTTAGCGGCGGCTATGCAGAACCTCCACAGGGAAACTGACGGTTTAAGGTAGTGGAGGTTTAACTGCAGGTGATACTGACACTGTGTGGCCTCGTGTTTTTAGCCCTGTGTGTTTTTCTGTTCTGTAGTTTGTAACTGAATGATGAGTTATATCATCAGCTGTGTGTGAGCCTCCACTAACTCAGTTTCAGGTTGAGCTTCTCCTTTGACCGACCGAACACCAGAGTTAGATAAAACGTCTGAGACCAAACGCGTTCTGATTGGTGTGACCTCTGACCGCTCAAAGGTGACACAACAAACACAACAGGAAGTGGACGAGATCGTTTCTCACCTTCGCGGCCGAGGACGAGTTCAGCCAGACGCCGAACAGAACCAGCACCAGCAGCATCATCACCTGTTCACCTGTTCACCTGTCTGCTTCACACACTGTGCGCCTGCTGCTACTTATACTCCAGTGGAAACCTCTTATCTCCAACAACAGGTCTGCCCCCCCCCCCCCCCCCCCCCGTTCAGACCTGGACTCAACAGGAGGACACATTCAGACCCGTTCACTTTACTGTGCTCGGTCTCCACGGACTCATAATGACAAAGTGAAAACATGTTTTTACAACTTTTTACAAATTTACTAAAAATCAAAAACTAAAATCTCTGATTGACAAAAGTCTTCAGACACTTTGCCTCCTGTGTCACTCTGCACCTGGTCTATCACTTCACTCTGTTCTGTCAGCTCTGATTTCTGTGGTTTTCATCTGGACTTTATCTTGTTCTGTGAAACACTTTGTTACCATGTTCTTTAACAGCAGGACGAGGAGACCGGTCAGAACCAAAAACACACAGGCTCATGGGTCACCTGTCAGATCCACAAACCCCTGGATCAATAAAGTTTGATCTTATTTTGTCTAATTTCACATGTCAGACGTGTGATAGTTCCCTGCTGCCCTGCTCCACTTTTATTTTCTTCTGTTTTGAATTGAACTGAAGGTTGAAGGTGAAAGTTGCTCAATAAATGATAATTTTTATCATTAGCCTGAGAACACACAGCTGCTGCTGCTCTCACACCCACACACACAGACACACACACACACTAACTACAAATCTGCCTTCATCCAACCACCACAGATCAATGACTGTGGTGACTTTCAAATCTTTGTCTTTTTGCCTGACCTCATGTTTCACTCATTTTCTCTTTTCTTGGCAGAAATACACTTTAATAGTTTATATTTATTTATTCATTTATTTTATTGTATTAGTATGATCAATGATCACTGCTTGATCCAATAAATGAAAAAATATGTAAAAAATAAATGAGCGTATTGTTCAAGAAACGATAGAATAAAACTAAATGTCTCTAAAATTAATATAAAGAAAAGATAAAAAATGGATTTACATTGTAATTCACTTAATTGTAAATGCTTCTTTATCAATAAATAAACAAGTCTTTTCTCAGGAGAGAGTCGTTTTTTCCACCGTCCCTTGGCTTCCTGAACGCGTCCTGGCGTTGATTGACAGGTGAAGTTGTCAGGTTACCACAGGGGGCGGGGCTTCTTGTTGCTCAACATGGCTGCGCCCTGCTCGGATCAACAGGTCTGAAGGTAACACGGTTTTTCCGACTTTAAACTTTATTTTTAAGTTTGTTTTTCACGTAAACAAACGGTTTCGGCGCCGGAAGTGACGCAACAGCTGCGGAGCGGGAAGAGACCGCCGTCAGGCACTCTGTTAGCTAACAAGCTGCAGGCTGTTAGCATGTGAGGTTAGCACAGAGCTGTGTTAGCTTAGCAGCGAGCTACGTCTGACCAGAGAGCTGTGGCTTATTACAACGGGAAGTGGTCGCGATGCTAACGGTTAGCTTCAGTGCGTAACTTAAGACGTATCCCAGTGACGTCACAGGAAACTATGACATAAAGGCAGTGACATCAGAGACGCAGAACACGCAGACGCGATGGTACAGACTGTCAGATTCACGTTGATCAGTTTCACTCCCAACAACAACGCGGAGTAAATCACAGCTCGTTCATCTGTTCATAGTCTGTGGTTTATCCGGAGACCTCTGACGTCACAGATCATGTGACTTAGTGATTTTGAAATATCCTGCTGCACAGACTATCGAAAACTGGAGTTTTGATGTTTCCCTTTGTCCCAGAATCACAGCCAGGATCCGGTTTGTTGCCCAGTAGGTTTTCATCACAGGAGGAATCAGCTGTGGTGGTTTGATGTGACAATAAAGAAAAGAAGAAATGTAAACAAACATAAGACAGGTCAGATATCTTCAATTTAAAGAGATACATCTAACAATAACAAAATATTTACAATAAGATGTGAAGAAATGTTACTATATATATTATACTAGAATACTATAAACATATACAATACAAATATGGCACTGTGCAAAATGACTGGGGAGGAGGAGGGGAGGGGGTCAGTGACAGTGGGGGTCTCTAGCTGTGTTAATGCACAGTGGCAGGTGTGTGACAGTGACCAGGGAATGTTTAGTATTTTGCCTGAAAATGACTAATAATCATTATTTCTTCCGATCGATTTTCAGGCAAAATGCTAAACATTCCCTGCTCACTGACACACACCTGTCACACACCTGTCACCTGTCACAGTGAGGAAGTTTGTTCATGAAACATAATGTCATCCATGGCAACAGGTTGACCTAGCCCCCTCCCCTATCTCAGGTGTTTCTCAGCAGCTCTGTGATCAGCTCCAAGGGACATACTGAGGATCCTTTAGGACGACTGTAAGTGGACAGAACAGCAGGTTCTCAGGTGTGCTGTGAGGGAGGACACAGGTGTGACGTGGAGGAGCTCTGGGCTGTTGGAGGACGGCTGCTGAGAGACAAACGTGTTCTCATGTGAGACATATACTAAATGTACGAGACATTTGTGTCCAGGTGTTGACGATGTCCAGGGAGCAGGTGAACATCAGTGAGCTCCTGCTCTCATTGGACAGTTCAGAGCTGCAGGAGGCGGAGCAAGTCAGAGCAGCAGTCAACCAGCAGCTGAGTACAGGTGAGTCCACCTGTATAGTGTTTGAGATTCAACAGGTCCCTGTCTCTGTCTGTCTCTACCAGTCAGTTTGACCTGTAGTTTGTCCTCTCAGACAGAGGAGGTGCTGTCCTCTCCTCTCTGGTGGAGTATTACCTGGACTCCTCGTCCTCTCAGGCGGTGCTCCTCCTGTCGTCCATCAGAGAGCGTCATCACAAGGTCAGCACCACCTGTCACTTCACTGTCCTGGTGTCTTTGTCTTCCTGGTGTGTGTCATTATAAACTGTTTAAACCTCCACCAGCTGCTGCTGGAGAAGCTGAATGAGTCTCTGAACAGACCTGGGACCAGACTGGCTGCTCTCACCCTGCTGGGTCACCTGATCCGGAATCAGCCTCCATGGGTTCATCACATCAGCCGCTCGGCCCTACTGCCGTCCCTGCTGCGCTGCCTCAAGGTAACACTGACTACTAACTAACTACTACTGAATAACTACTACTAACTAACTACTACTGACTAACTACTACTGAATAACTACTACTTACTAACTACTACTAATTAACTACTACTAATTAACTACTACTAATTAACTACTACTGAATAACTACTACTGAATAACTACTACTGACTAACTACTACTAATTAACTACTATTGAATAACTACTACTGACTAACTACTACTGAATAACTACTACTGACTAACTACTACTAATTAACTACTACTAACTAACTACTACTGACTAACTACTACTAATTAACTACTACTAACTAACTACTACTGACTACTACGAATTAACTACTACTAACTAACTACTACTGAATTACTACTACTGACTAACTACTACTAATTAACTACTACTGACTAACTACTACGAATTAACTACTACTGACTAACTACTACTGAATAACTACTAACTAACTAACTACTGAATTACTACTGATACTGACTGATACTAACACTAACTAATACTAATCTTAACTGATACTAATAGTAACTAATATTAATAGTAACTAATACTAATCCTAACTGATACTAATACTAACTGATACTAATCCTAACTAATACTAATACTATCTGATACTTATACTAACTGACACTAATGTTAACTGATACTAATAGTAACTAATACTAATCCTAACTAATACTAATACTAACTAATACTAATACTTATACTAACTGATACTTACCGTTCAGTTTTATGTCAGTGTCTGTAAATCTCCGGCTCTGCCCGTGAACACAGCTGATTGTTGTTGTTGTTCCTCCTCAGACTGACACTGATGTTGTCGTCCTGATCACTGCAGTCCTGGTGCTCATCACTCTGTTACCCATGATCCCTCAGGCCGGGAAACAACACATCTACGACTTCTTCGACGTGTTCGGACGCCTCGCATCCTGGAGCTACAGAAACCCCGGTAACACACACACACACACACACACACACACACACACACACACACACACACACACACACACATATAGAGTGGTCGATGTGTGTATGGAGTTTGATGTGTGATTGGTCAGTGGGCTGTTCTGATTGGCTGGTTGTCCTGTGCAGGTCATGTACCTGTGCTCCACCTGGTCCACCTCCACGCAGGTGTGTACTCTCTGTTCCACCGTCTGTACGGGATGTTCCCCTGTAACTTCATTTCCTACCTGAGACTCCACTACAGCATGAAGGAGAACCTGGACACCTTCCAGGAGGTCGTCAAGGTCAGTACAGACCAGCACAGACCAGAACAGACCAGTATCGACCAGCACAGACCAGTACAGACCAGCACAGACCAGTACAGACCAGCACAGACCAGTATCGACCAGCACAGACCAGTACAGACCAGTACAGACCAGCACAGACCAGCAGAGACCAGTACAGACCAGCACAGACCAGCACAGACCAGCACAGACCAGCACAGACCAGTACAGACCAGTACAGACCAGTACAGACCAGTACAGACCAGATAACCACAGAACTTCATTGAGAATTATTGTTTCCTTCAGTATCACAGTGATCAAAGTTGTCTGAACATCATGATACACTGCAGACAGGAGCTGATCACAGCTGATCACAGCTGATCACAGCTGATTCACTGACTCCATGGAAACATTAAACTTGTGTTGACAGTCACCAACTCCACATGATCAGAAGATCAGATGTAACGCAGCAGCTGTTTCTCTCACTGTGACTGACTGATCCCTGAACAGCTGCTGCTCTGGTTCCTGTGGCAGTCAGAAATAACTGCTGGAAATAACACCTGCTGCTTTTGACAAGTACTGACAGCTACTGACAACTACTGACAGCTACTGACAGCTACTGACAGCTACTGACAACTACTGACAACTACTGACAGCTACTGACAGCTACTGACAGCTACTGACAACTACTGACAGCTACTGACAGCTACTGACAGCTACTGACAGCTACTGACAGCTACTGACAGCTACTGACAGCTACTGACAGCTACTGACAACTACTGACAGCTACTGACAACTACTGACAACTACTGACAGCTACTGACAACTACTGACAACTACTGACAGCTACTGACAGCTACTGACAGCTACTGACAGCTACTGACAGCTACTGACAACTACTGACAGCTACTGACAGCTACTGACAGCTACTGACAGCTCTGTATAGCAGAGAGTGCAGGTGATGATGTCACAGCTGAACACCTACACCTGGACAACAACAGACACAGACAGCAGCTTCTTCACGGCACACATGTCAATGAAGACTTCTGTTCTTCTGCTTCTGTTGTTAAATAAGATAAATACAACTCACACTTCTTCTTCTTCTCTGGTGTTTGACGTGTTGCTGATGTAGACTGTATTGCCACCTACTGGCCCGGCCTGTGTTTGTACTGGTTCCTGTGTTTCTGTGAAATATTTAAAAAATGAAACAAAGGTCATGTGGACAGATGTTTACTTATATATATATATATATATATATGATTGTGGACAAGGCCTGAGATTTCAACTCACTTATGTCCTCTGTGTCTCTCTCTGTGTCTGTGTCTATCTGCCTCTGTGTCTGTCTGTCTCTGTCTCTCTCTCTGTCTCTCTGTCTCTCTCTCTCTGTCTCTCTCTGTGTCTGTCTCTCTCTCTGTCTCTCTGTCTCTCTCTCTGTCTCTCTCTCTCTGTCTCTCTCTGTGTCTGTCTGTCTCTCTGTCTCTGTCTCTCTGTCTCTCTCTCTCTGTCTCTCTCTGTGTCTGTCTGTCTCTCTCTCTGTCTCTCTGTCTCTCTCTCTCTGTCTCTCTCTGTGTCTGTCTCTCTCTCTGTCTCTCTGTCTCTCTCTCTGTCTCTCTCTCTCTGTCTCTCTCTGTGTCTGTCTGTCTCTCTGTCTCTGTCTCTCTGTCTCTCTCTCTCTGTCTCTCTCTCTGTCTGTCTGTGTCTGTGTCTGTCTGTTTCTGTCTCGCTCTGTCAGCCCATGTTGGAACATGTCAGGGTTCACCCGGAGCTGGTCACAGGGACTCAGGACTATGAGCTGGACCCGTCCAGGTCAGTAACAGTCACCATCACACCATCTCCTGAGGAAGACTGACTGAAAGCTCCAGAACAGCTGCTAAACAGTATGAAGCTGACGCCATGTGACAGAGGCTCTGACAGGATGTGAAAAACATCAACTGCCAAAATAAAAGAGCTACAATTACAAACAGAATAAGAGACACAAAGTATCTGATTCCAACCCTGTGATGACTTCCTGTCTCAGGTGGAGGTGTTATGAAGTCCATGACATTGTGATAGAGTGCTCCAGAGTGTCTCTGGACCCTCTGGAGGCATCCTGTGAGGAGGACATGTACTCCTCCCTGAGAGACCCCCCTTCTTCTTCCGCCTCCTCCTCCTCACCCAGACCTCCCCGACTGTCCTCTCCCCTCCCAGCCCTGGACCTCACCTCCAGTCCTGTCAACACAGAGTCCGTCAGCGGCTCAGGTCGGTAACAAGCTCAGATCAGGAAGTGTCCACACAGTCGCAGGTTTATACATATATCTATACATACTGACATAAGATTTACAGACCCAGAACACACTGTAGAGACTATATATCTCAGACGGCCTGGGAAAGTCAGGATCCTCCAGAAGGAGCTGGAGGATCTTGGATGGATGAATAGAAGGATAGATGTATAGATGGATGGATGTATAGGGGGATATATTGATGGATGGATGGATGGATAGGGGAATGTATAGAGGGATAGATGGATGGATGTATAGGGGGATATATTGATGGATGGATGGATGGAATGTATAGAGGGATGGATGTATAGATGAATGGATGTATAGGGAGATATATTGATGAATGGATGTATAGATGGATGGATGTATAGAGGGATGGATGTATAGAGGGATGGATGTATAGATGAATGGATGTATGGAGGGAGGAATGTATAGAGGGATGGATGTATAGATGAATGGATGTATAGGGAGATATATTGATGAATGGATGTATAGAGGGATGGATGTATAGGGGGATATATTGATGAGATAATGAGTTGATTAATTCCTGATTTGTGATCTGTGTGTTGACAGGAAGTTCAGTCTGTCCTTCGCCGTCTGGACGTCCGGCTCTTCCTCAGCTGACCTTCAACACCTGCACTCAGGTGATGTTTCATCATTGTTCATCACTGTAGCTCAGGAAGAGGAAGGAACACTTATCATGTGTTCATTCATGTGTTCATCTTTAAAAAGTCACAGCAGTTATTCTGTGAACAGAATCAATCAGCTCTTAGATCAGGTGAGAGCCAGGGGTTTCCCATCATGCCCTGCAGCACCGGGCTCTAACACCTGGTGAGGTGGTCGTAGTTTACGTTTCCACAACATCAGAGCGAGTCGACAGAAATCTGATCAATGAGTCTGATGTTCCTGTTCAGGCCGATGATGCCACATGGAGCCCCTCATCTCAGTGTGGTTTGTCCACGCCCCCACCTGAACCTGCCGCTACAAGCTCCGCCCACCCTCTGAGCAGGACAGCATCCATCTCAGGTGAGTCAGATGTAAGAGCGTTTTCTTCTCTCTGGTGTGACTCAGAGACGGACACAAGCATATATCCATGGAATAATAACACACACTCAATGTAGTGAAAGAATTCAATCACATAATCCATAATTCATTTGTAATTTAAAAACAAAACCACATAAATCTGTCGTTTGTTTTAAAACTAAATGGGAAAAAGCGTTTTTGTTGTCAGTATCAAAAAACGAAAAATGGACAGTTTCTGTTTTTTGTCGATTCCTTGATTCTTTGTTTTGTTTGAAACAAAAAACTGAATTCACACGGTTTTATTTTAAATCAAAACATTGATTCAATTTTTATCCAAATAAAACCGCTTTATTTTAGTCAGAGCAGCAGCCATTTTGTTTTCAGGGTGCCTGTCCGTCTCGTTCTCGTGGACACGATATCTCAGTAACACCGCTTGGCACCCAAGGATGAACTGATTGGATTTTGGTGGTCAAAGGTCAAAGGTCAAGGTCACTGTGACCTCAGAAAGCACTTCTTAGCCATTACTCAAGACTTCAAACATCCATCCACAATTTCAAACAAACGTTAAATATTTAATGAGTCTGGATAATCAGGATGTGACCTGAAACTGCTCAGCGGAGGCAGACGACCGTGAGGAGGTGACTCTGGTTCTAAAACAAAATCAAAAACGAGAAGAAAATCTGATTCAAATAACAGTCCGATTTTGTTTTTTGCAAATTCATTTTTTCATTTCTCATTTGGCACAGACAGTAGATCAGTGGAAGAGACAGGAAGAGGAAGTGAAGTGTAAAAAAGTCAAAATAAAAGCCAAGAGCAAAAACTGACCATTTTGATTGATTTTGATTCTGACACAGAAAACTTTTTTTTTTAATGTTTTTGTTTTAAAACGAACAACAGATTTACCTTTTCTCTGGTTTTTAAATTGCAAATGAATTATGGATTATCTGATGATACCCAGACCCTGATTTCTTTATTACACTGAACATGTGTAAAAGATAAACACCTGAGAGTTGTTCAGCTTAACAATAAAGACGGAACCATTAGAACTGTTGGACATATTGTCTGTAACAGGATGAGAACAGACATGATCCTCGTCATCACACTGACGTCTGGTCCTGGTGGCGCTCTGAACCTAAACCCCGTCCCACTGATGAACTCTTGTGTCCCCAGGTGTGAAATGTCCCTCACCGGCCTCCGTCCCTGTGACATCACTGACTGAAGAGATCCAAGATGGAGGTCTGGCTCCTGTGAACAACAACAACCAGGTGAGACCAGGGCCGCAGGTAGACTCTGCTCTCCTCGATGGGAGGGTTTTATTGTGAAGGAGTCTCTGTCTGTCTTTGCAGGTGAAGCAGCAGCCAATCACAGAGCTGGAGGGTGTGTCATCTATTCAACCAGTCACAGAGGGGGTGGAGAGAGGCCCGAGTGATGTCATCAATAACGGCAGTGAAGGTGAGCTGACCAGCTGATTGGCCTGTGTGTGTGTGTGTGTGTGTGTGTGTGTGTGTGTGTGTGTGTGTGTGTGTGTGTGTGTGTGTGTGTGTGTGTGTGTGTGTGTAGCCTGGATCCATAATCAGTCATTGTTACTCTGTCTCCAGGGGTCAGATCAGAGGAGGCCCCCCTGCCCCCCCCTTCCTCCTCCTCCCCCCTGCCCGTCCTCACCTCCACCCCCGGCTGTGATGAGTCATACTCGGGTTCATCGCTCCCCCCTCCTCCCTCCTCCATCTCACTCTGCTTCACCCCCCCTCACCTCTCCACCACCTCCACCCACAGATTAGAGGAGGGGGGCCCTGACTTGTTTGGCCCCACCCACTCCAATCAGAGCCCCGCCTCCCCGTACGAGCCTTTGTTTGAGCTGGCTCTGCCGCACGCCGCCACGCTCTTCATCGGGAGGAAGACTCAGGTAAACTGAAGCAGACCGATGTGGCTCCACCTTGATCAGAGTCGGTCAGGAAGTGATTATCACTTATTGATCTCTATCAGGTCTGTTGTTTCAGAGTCACTGTTACAGAGTTGTTCCTGTTCCTCATGTAGTTCTCAGGTGAAGAGCTTCACCTGAGAGGAACCATCCCTCTACAGGCCTGTCACAGCATCACAATACAACGTTTTCACCTCTTTGTCAAAACAGTCCAATTTTATTCTCAAAATATCTTAAATTGCGCCACGTGATCAGTTGTCCGTGTGTCTCATTCTTGTCATGGAAACGTTCACCTGAGCTCAAAGATGAACTGATCAGAAAATTTTTTTGGGAGATTAAAAGTTTATTCTCATAATATTTTTAAAAATGCTCTTTAAAATTAGTTAGTTTTCTCTTTATTTTCAACCTGAAAACAACTAATATTTGTCTATATTATTGATCAGCCCTTTGTTTTTATTGAACAGTCCTTTGTTTTCATCAGTCTGTCTTGTGTCCTGTAGGAGGTGCTGGAGAGAGCAGTGGGGCAGCAGGAGAGGGGGGGCGGAGGAGGGGGAGTGGAGGTGGAGGACAGGGAGGAAGATCAGACCTCCGTCTCCCCTCTGGAGGTTCTGGACCAGCTGATCGTCCACGGACACAGTGCTCATGAAGGCCTCAGCAGGAGGTGAGACTGTTAGTCTGCAGATCATTAATGAACAGGAGAACCACAGAGGAGCCCTGAGGAACTCCAGCTGTATGATCCAGTTTTACATGTTCTTAGTCCTTAATAAAATGTAAACAGGTGAGTTATATAAACAGGTGTCATGAAGGAGGAAATTAGCTCTAGAGACCAAAACAGTTTTTGCACCAGGCTGTAAACATGTTTATTTCTGCTGTAAAGTTGGACATTTTAACATGGGAGTCTATGGCTGCGTTTCCACTGGAGCTTTCCCCAGGAACCAGGAACCTTTTGAGGAATAATGTGCATTTCCACCGCAGGAACCAGGGTCTAAATTTATTCTGGGGTAATTGATTGACCCCCACAAAAGTCCCTGGTCGGGGGGGGGGGGGGTTAGTACTTTCCAAAGGTTCAGGAACTTTGGGGGGTGTGGTCTGCAGTGCTGAACATTTCTGACTGGTCGAGTACTCACTGCATTTTATTTCACCCGCAGTGAGCGAGTGAACACATTTTCCCCGCCGTGAAACAGGTCCAGGAGAAGGTAAAAAAAACTTAAACAGAACGTCAAAAAAATAAAGGACCGTATTTGAAGATAAAATGCTGCGTCCTCTATTGAATATATACGGGGCCAATTTGTCCTGTATTTCTGTTCATGTTATGTCCTCACAGTGAATAATGTGATGTCAAGTCATAATTTTGCATAATCTTCCTGGGACTTGAAGCTGCGGTGGAAATGCAGAAAACGATAGACCACAGGAACCTTTTAGTTCCTGAAGAAAAGTACCCAGAACTAAAAGTTCTTTTACTTTTTGGTCAAAACGCAGCTTATGGGGACTGACTCACTGTTGGAGCCAGACTGTAGTGGTCATTAGAGGAACTGCAGCTTCTGGTTTTCAGTGTTGATGCTTGGACTGAACGTCAGAGCTCAATTGCAATTTTCAAGTTTTCTGGCCTCGTGGGAGCGCTAGTGTTAAACATGACTGTGTGTGTGTGTGTGTGTGTGTGTGTGTGTGTGTGTGTGTGTGTGTGTGTGTGTGTGTGTGTGTGTGTGTGTGTGTGATGCAGGTTGTCAGCAGTAAGTAAGTCGGTGGATCGGAGTCATTTTGGAGGTAAACAGCAGAGCATGAAAACCAAAGGTACCTGAAACTAACACACCCACAGACTCACCTCATTAACATAATTAACATAATTAACCTGAGGCAGGAGACACATCTGTCAGCTTTAAATCATCACTTCTGTGGTGACTCAGTGTCGTACTAAAAGTATAGAACAGTAACAGAAGTGTAACAGCTGCAGTGAGAGGTGAACTGTCACTGTTTGTTCACAACGTCCCGTCTCTCAGTGATGATTCTCTCTGACCAATCAGCAGCCTGCAGCGTTTCCTGGAACCCCAGTGATACAAAAAACTTCCCAGGTATCAGGTTCTGTCTCCTGACCAATGGAAAACCAGAACAGGAGTGGAGTCAGTACCTGACAGATACATGCAGCAGATTCTCTGGTGTTTTATTCCACATTTGGTGAAAACAAATATATCACTTTAATAGAAAGTGTCAGACTCAAAGACTCAGGGACTCAAAGACTCAGACTCAAGATTTGAAGTGCAGGACAGGTGACAGGTGAAAGGTGACAGGTGACAGATGTGTTACAGTGTCCATCTCTGTAAGATGTCATGGCAGGAAGAGCGGTGAAAATTAGCGAGTTCACCCAGGAGTTGTGTTTACATCACTGCTGATCGGAGTTTCAGCCTATGAATACCTGCGTCTGTTCCAGATGTGAAGGCTGATTGTTCCTGTTTCCACTGCCGACAAAAGGAGAAGAGGCTTTAGACTCTGAGAGACTCAGAGGCCTGTTGCACGTCTAGTTTATAAGTTCAATTTTGCATGTCATGATTTTATTGCGTTTGCAAAATCTGTGCATTAAATCAGTGTGTACATGAATGACTGGTGCACCCCACTAACCAGTCTAATTAGTCTAACCAGTCTAATCTGACCTGCTCACTCATCCATCAGCATATTTTGGTTGTTTCGTGGTTTTTAGTCAGATCAGATCAGTCAGTCCAGATCAGATCAGATCAGATCAGATCAGATCAGATCAGTTCACATCTTAATTGTCCCACAGGAGGAAGTTAATTTTAAAGGCAGCACGAAACAAAAACATAAAACATCAACACAGTAAAAATAAACCAGCCAATCAGAGAGAGGCTGAGAGTTCTGTGATGGATCTGTAAAACGACAATAATCATTTAACCCTTCGTTGAGAAAATGAGAATAAATGCAGATGAATGTGACAGATTCTTTGTTTCTGTTGATGTGTGTGTTTAATGTGTGTTTATTGTGTGTTTGCTGTGTGATGTCAGGCCCCGCCCTGGGGGAGGAGCTTCAGTGCCTGAGGAGTCAGCTGTTGCTGATCCACAGTCAGCTCCAGTATGAACGTTTCAAACGGCAGCAGCACGCTGTCAGGAACCGCCGTTTGCTGCGGAGAGTCATCAACGCTACAGCGCTGGAGGAGCACAGCGTTGCCATGGTAACACACACACACACACACACACACACACACACACGTTATCACTGTCTGTTGTTTTATCAGGTGTTTTTCTTACCTCCCTCTTTGTTTATTCCTTGTTTCCTCCTCTCCGTCCTCATCCCTCCCTCCCTTCCTTCCTTCCTTCCCCCCTCCCTGCAGAAGGCCCAGCTGGGCGTTCAGGACGAGGAAATTCGGTCTCTGAGGTTGAGTCTGGAGGAAGAACAGAGACGCGACACACAGCTGCAGCAGGACACACACACACACACCAACCAGCTGCACACACACATCCAACAACTGCTGCTGCAACAGCAGGACGAGCAGAGAGACAACCAGAGACTTCAGGTACACACTGACACACACTGACACACTCACACACTGACACACACTGACACACTCACACACTGACACACTAACACACACTGATACACACTCACACACTGACACACACTGACACACTCACACACTGACACACACTGACACACTCACACACTGACACACTAACACACACTGATACACACTCACACACTCACACACTCACACACTGACACACACTGACACACTCACACACTGATACACACTCACACACTGATACACACTCACACACTGATACACACTGACACACTGATACACTGACACACACTCACACTGACACACTAACACACACTGATACACACTGATACACTCACACACACTCACACACTGATACACTCACACACACTCACACACTCACACTGACTCACTGATGCATACTCACACACTGATACATACTTACACACTGACACACACTGATACACACTGACACACTGATACACACTGACACACTCACACACTGATACACACTCACACACTGATACACACTGACACACTGATACACTGACACACACTCACACTGACACACTAACACACATTGACACACTCACACACTGATACACACTGATACACTCACACACACTGATACATACTTACACACTGACACACACTCACACACTGACACACACTGATACACACTGACACCCTGATACACTGACACACACTCACACTGACACACTGACACACACTGACAGACTCACACACTGATACACACTCCCACACTGATACACACTGACACCCTGATACACTGACACACACTCACACTGACACACTGACACACACTGACAGACTCACACACTGATACACACTCCCACACTGATACACACTGACACCCTGATACACTGACACACACTCACACTGACACACAAACACACACTGACACTCTCTGACACACACTGACCCACTCACACACTGATACACTGACTCACACTGACACACTCACACACTGATACACACTGACACACTCACACAGTGATACACACTGACACACACTCACATTGACACACTGACACACACTGACACTCACTGACACACACTGACATACTCACACACTGATACACCGATACACACTGACACACTCATACACTGACACAAACTCACACACTGACACACTCATACACTGACACAAACTCACACACTGACACACTCACACACACTCACACTGACTCACTGATGCATACTCACACACTGATACACCGATACACACTGACACACTCATACACTAACACACACTCACACACTGACACACACTCACACTGACACACACTGACAAACACTGATACATACTTACACACTGACACACACTCACAAACTGACACATTGATACACACTCACACACTGACACACTCATACACTAACACACACTCACACACTGACACACACTCACACTGACTCACTGATGCATACTCACACACTGACACACACTCACTCACTGATACACTCACACTGATACACACTCACACACTGACACACTCACACACTCACGCACTGATACACTGACACACTCTGACACACTCACACTGACACACACTCACTCACTGATACACTCACACTGATACACACTCACACACTGACACACTCACACACTCACGCACTGATACACTGACACACTCTGACACACTCACACTGACACACACTCACTCACTGATACACTCACACTGATACACACTCACACACTGACACACTCACACACTCACGCACTGATACACTGACACACTCTGACACACTCACACTGACACACCCACTCACTGATACATACTTACACACTGACACACACTCACAAACTGACACACTCACACACTCACACACTGATACACTGACACACACTGACACACTCACACTGACACACCGACTCACTGATGCATACTTACACACTGACACACACTCACACACTGACACACACTGATACACACTGACACTGACTCACACGCTGACACACTAACACACACTCACACACTGACACACACTGATACACTGACACACACTCACGCTGACACACACTCACGCACTGACATACATTGACACACTGATACACTGACACACACTAACACACACACTCACACATTGGCACTGACACACACTGACGCATACTGACGCAGACACTGACACACACTGATACACTGACACACACTCACACACTGACACACACTCACACACTGACACAGACACTGACACACACTGACACATTGACACACACTCACACACACTGACACACACTGACACACATTGACACACACTGACACAGACACTGACACACATTGACACACACTGACACACACTGACAAATTGACACACACTCACACACTGACACATTGACACACACTGACACACACTGACACACACTCACACACTCACACACTGACGCACACTGACACAGACACTGACACACACTGACACAGACACTGACACACACTGACACATTGACACACATTGACACAGACACTGACACACATTGACACACACTGATACATTGACACACCTGTGTTGTGATTGGCTGTTTCAGAGCGAGCTTCAGGAGTGTCAGAGCAGGCTCAGAGATCTGGAGGCGGAGCTTCAGAAGGCCAATAATAAGGCTTACAATGCTGAACACCAGCTGACCGAACTGTCACTCAAGGTGAGATCAACTTCACCTGACACTGTGACTACAGGGGCGGAGTCTAAAACAGTCTACTTCCTCTAATGTCAGTTCACCTGTGTCACAGCAGAGTGTTTCCTTCAGTATGGAGGCGATGGTTCAGGTGTGTAGGGTGAAAGGTCACACAGTGAACACCTGTTAGAGCAACACTGACAGAGAACAATTTTTATTTCTGTTTCATGGAGAACGACAGACCTTTTGTAAGGAGGCTGAGAGGAACAAAACACCTTAAGTTAAGATTCCTTTAAAGTCTGAGTTAAGGTTCCCTTAAAATAAAAAGAGTTGCACAAAACACCTTAAGTCTTCTCCTTAAGTATTTAAGGTTAAATCCTTATCTTAGTCTTATACTTACAGAATCACTTAAAGTCAGTTAAACTGTGTCACAGAAGACCTTAGTGACCAAACTAAGGAAAAAACTAAAGGTGTGTAGGTGTGCTCTTTTCTTTGATCTCTCTGTTCAGGTGTAGTGGAGGTGTTTCATGTCCACAGGTCAGAGGTCAGAGGTGTGTCAGGTCACTCACTTAGTTTAAACTCTCACACTGTGAAGTTCCAGTCAGAACAACAGAAGGATGAGACAGCAGCTTCTTCAATGTTACCTGCTTCCATAATTGATCACAGGTGAGATCACGGTTTCCATGGAAACAGTGGAATTTTACCAAAGTAAACATCTCTTGCATTGCTGTAACTTTTTGAAGAGATTCTGTGCAACAGCCTTCAGTAACTCCCTCAGCTGAGGACAAATTCAACCTGAAGTGTCAGACTTAAGTAGAAAACTTAAGGTGTTCTGTACGACCGGCGCCAGAAACCTTCAGGATCCAGATCAATAAAGTTTTGTTAACTGATAAACAAACCCAGTGTCGGGTTAGTTAGAGGTAAAGATCTATTACCTTTCTCCTGTTTTTAACAAATGGAACATGGAAAACAAGAGAGATTAGAAAATATAAAACAATAAAAGACAATATTTTTGATACAGAACAATTATAAACCACATGAGAGGTTTTAAACTACACCAGCAGAGAAGAAGAAAACGGCTTCTTCTTCTTCCTCTTTTAGCTGCTGCCACAGCCGACCATCCTGCTGCATCACACATTTAACTCGGCCTCCCTGACGCAGCCCTCCCATGTGACCGGGCTCAGACCCGACACTGTCAATATTACACTGGCTTGTAAAGAAATATAGATTACAGTTTTAGTAAAGAAATGAAAAGAAAAATAAGAGGGGAGTTGTTGATAACCCTCGTTAATAAACATTAATCTGTGTGTGTGTGTGTGTGTGTCTGTGTGTGTGTGTGTGTGTGTGTGTGTCTGTGTGTGTGTGTGTGTGTGTGTGTGTGTGTGTGTGTGTGTGTGTGTGTGTGTGTGTGTCTGTGTCTCTTTGTGTGTGTTTGTGTGGTCTGTGTGTGTGTGTGTCTGTGGTGTCTGTGTGTGTGTGTGTGTGTGTGCTGTGTGTCTGTGGTCTCTGTGTGTGTGTGTGTGTGTGTGTGTGTTGTGTGTGTGTGTGTGTGTGTTGTGTCTGTGTCTGTGTCTCTCTGTGTGTGTGTGTGTCTGGTGTGTGTGTGTGTGTCTTGTGTGTGTGTGTGTGTGTGTGTCTGTGTGTGTGTCTGTGTGTGTGTGTCTGCTGTTGTGTGTTGTTCGTGTGCTGTGTGTGTGTCTGTGTGTGTGTGTGTGTGGTGTGTGTGTCTGTGTCTGTTTCTCTGTGTGGTGTGTGTGTGTGTGTGTGTGTGTTTGTGGTCTGTGTCTGTGTTCTTCTCTGTGTGTGTGTGTGTGTGTGTGTGTGTGCAGCTGTGCAGCAGTGAGCAGCTGCAGCAGCAGATCTTCTTGTTGAACCAGCAGCTCGTCCTGCTGAGAGAAGCTAACAGAGCTCTGACTGAACAGCTGGAGGGCGGAGAGAGCAACCACTGGACTGTAAGAGCAACACACACACATACATGCATGCGTGCGCACACACACACACACACACACACACCTCTGCGGCTGTTCTGATAATCAATCAAAGCTCAAACATTCACCTGGACTCAAGTATGAACTGATTGGATTTTGGTCGCTAAAGGTCAAAGGTCAAGGTCACGGTGACCTCACAAAACACTTTTCAGCCATTACTCAAGACCTCACACAGAAACTATGACAAATTTCGCACAAATGGTTCATAGTTAATATTTCCTATGATTGTGGAGTGACCTGGAACTAGTCTGAGTGGAGGAGGAGGAGATTCTAGTTTGGAGAGTTTTTTCTCATCTGGTTCAAAGGCTGTGAACATCACATCTCAGTGACCTCATTGTGTGTGTGTGTGTGTGTGTGTGTGTGTGTGTGTGTGTGTGTGTGTGTGTGTGTGTGTGTGTGTGTGTGTGTGTTGGTCAGGAGGTGTCCATGCTGCAGTGCAGTGTGGGTAAGGAGTACCAGCGTCTGAAGGACAGCGAGGTGCAGCAGCGACAGAAACTGGAGGCAGCCAATCACAGGATAGCAGAGCTAGAGAACCAGCTGGCCAAGAAAGACCAGCTGATCCTGGACCAGAAGAAACTTCTGGAGGACACCAAGGCCCAGAGCAGGTCAGAGTCCTGGTCAGAGTCCTGTTCCAGTATTAAATTGTTGACCTGTTACTGAGAACCAGAGGAAACAAACAGACAGCAGCTGCTGAGTAAATGTATGAAGACGAACCTCCACTCTGTTTATTCAGATAACTGATCAATAGTCCAGGGTGACGTCTTCTACAGGAAACACACCAGAGGATGGACGAGTCGTTATCAGAAGAGTCTCAGATGAAAGAATTAGTCATGAACCAGCTCATTAACTCTGAGATTCCTTCTCATTATCAGTAGGTAAAGGTGTGTTCAGATGAAGTTCCTCCTCGTTAGTATCTGTGCCCAGTCCTGAAACTGACCTCAGATCAGGTTTCTTACTAATACAGTTTGAGTCTGTGAAACACAGCGATCTACCGCTTGCAACATTAGCATTATAGCTAGTACCTTAGCTACAATGCGATGTACTGTGATGTAACTCGTTGTTGTTGGTTATGGTCTGAAGCCTGGTGAACATCAGTCAAAGGTTCAGGCAGAGGAGAGTTTCAGGGACAAGGAGGAGGAGCAGTGATGTCACAGGAAGGGCATGAAGCTTGTTCTTCATTTCATATTTTAATCGACATTAAAAAGAGGAATTGTAAAAAGAATTTATAAATGAACGATTAATAATCAATCAATACTTCAGGTTTACAGAAACAACATAAAACTCTTATTAAATGAAACATTTATAAATACATTTATTATTCATTCATGAATAAATGATAGAATTAAAAAAATATTTGAAAAGACATTTTAAAAATGAGAATAAATAACTGGATTCAATTTCTATTTCCTTTTTCCAGCTGCTTTTCTTGTGCGCTAATAGATTAGCTTAGCCATCTAGCTTCTCCTTTTACCCTTCATTGCTGGTAAAGCCAACTGGTTAGCTCTCCAACCAATCAGAGAGCTTGCTGTTTAGCCTGGTTTTACCAGCACTGACGGTCCCGAGTGTCATGGAGAGGCTAACAGGAGAAGCTAGATGGCTAAGCTAATCTATTAGCTAACAGGGAAAGCAGCTGGAAAATGGAAATGGAAATTGAATCCAGTTATTTATTTTCTTTTAAAAAAGTGTCTTTTCAAAGAGTTTTTTAAATTCTATCATTTATTCATGAATGAATAATAAATGTATTTATAAATAAATGAATCCTGAGAACCTTTGACAACAACTGAGAATAAACCTCTGTGTGTGTGTGTGTGTGTGTGTGTGTGTGTGTGTGTGTGTGTGTGTGTGTGTCAGGGCGGAGCTGTCGGCCTGTGAGAGTCGCTGTGTCGCTCTGAGGAGAGTCACCCAGAATCTACAGACGGAGATGCTTCACCTGTACAGTCAGATCCACCTGGACACGCCCACACACAGCCGGCCTCAGGACGTCTGCAGCAGGTAAACCCATGCCAGTGATGTCACACGTTGATGTCACTACAGGTGTTCAGAAACATCCTGTTTGTTTGTTGGTCTTTTGTTTAAACTTTATTGAAACCAAAACAGGAAGACGAACACAGAGGAACTGAATCATAACGTCACAGTTAATGATTATCATTGATTATTATTCACATTAGGTGAGCAGGTTTCTTTCACAGAAAGTTTAGCACATCATTACAGGTAGATGTGACGGCACCACCAGTGAACCCAGTATCTATTTAACGTTGGCTAACGTTAGCCACCATAAGTTTTAGTTTTTAAGTTAGTGTATTTGCACAGAAGTGACAGTAAGACATTACACAGTTAAACTTTCTCTCAAATTAAATCGAAGGCAACTGGACTTGTATTTGTCTGTGGAAGACGTTTCGCCTCTTATCCAAGCGGCTTCATCAGTTCTTATGTATTGGTCTCTCTAGTCCGCACTAGTCTGAGAGAGAGATTACAATGACCTGGACGAATGAGAACATTCACAGACACAGTTAAACTTGTTTTCTCGGTACTCGGTGGATTTGACGTGTATGTTTTTTTTTTTTGCAGAAATGTCTCAGTCACAGATGATTTTAAAAAGACAGTTTGTGAGGAGGAGAATCACAAGGACAGGTGAAACAGTGCAGAGTGCAAACATCATTAGTTCCTCTAATGTGGGGAAAAGAAAGTAAATTCATGTTACTGAGGAGATACAGTTAATGAGTCAGGACTGACAGTAGGACTAGTCCTCAGCCACAGGTGGAAGGTGGAAGGTTAAACACCTTCTCTGACTGTGACTGAGGTGTGAAGGATCATTGCCATCAGGAATATTACAATAATTGATAAATGGATAAAACTGTAATACAGAATTCAATAAGAATCTCAGACCACCTGAGACTGTGGTGGGAAAACACCTGAGTGCACTGATGTCAACAAAGGTGTGTTATTACCTGTGAGTGAACTTCACAGTGGTGCTTTAAACAGTCTAAAGTAACCAATCAGAGCATACAGCTGATGATGTCATGTCATGTCATCTCTCTCTCCCTCAGGCCAAATGGTGGCAGTGTCGCCTTACCTGTTGCTCAGGGCAGCCTCAGGCCCTGCCCCTCCTCTTCTTCTGTTGGTATAATAAACGGAATTGCGGAGGCTCTGTCCACCTCCCCCCTGCACCTCCCCTCCTGCTCCTCCTCCCCCCTCTCCCTATCCCCCATCGACTCCCCCCTGGCCGTCGGCTCGTTCCTGGAGCAGCGAGCGCGACAGCTGTTCAGACCGACCGATCACAGCCAGGAGGAGGAGCCACAGGAGGATGAGGAGGAGCCACAGGAGGAAGAGGAGGAGGCCCAGCCAGAGAGCCCTCCTCTGGGTCAGGAGGCAGAGGAGGCCGCCCTCCTCTCAGGGAGCCCCCAGACGGTGCCTCAGAGCCAGGCTGCAGCTCCCAGCCCCCCTACCTCTAAACCTGAGCCCCCCCCTCCAGGTCCTGCCCCTCCTGCAGACCTGACCCTCGCCGTTCGACAGAGGAGACACGAGCTGAGCATCATGGACTACGACGAGACGCTGCCAGAGTACTGAGAGAGGACCAGAGACCAGGTGTCCAGGTGTCAGCAGACCACAGGTGACTGGGTCTGTGGATAAAACCAGAGTGAAACAGACTTCATCATTAAACGCTGTCGTACATGAAGCATCAGGTGTGTAGGGCGATGATGAGGAGGCTGAACCTTCCTCACATTCAAACAGAAGTGATGATAAACTTAATGAATAAACAGCAGAGTGAAGAGAATCTGACATAAGACACAACAGGTAGAAACTAAACTCTGCCTGACACAGCTACAAACCAAACCTTAGCGTCACACTGATGTTATTTAATAATAATAATTAATTCATATGTGCTGTTGGAGGCTTGATGATGCAGTGACTGCTTTGCTAACTACTGTAGATAGCAAATGAACTGCTAACACACTAACTCGCCAGGAATATGTTAGCCCACAATAGCCTACTAAGCTAGCTCAGTTGCTAACTGTAAGCCTGCCAAACCAGTTAGCTCACCGGCTAACCAGCCAATAAACTGAACATGTATTTCAAAGGTGAGAGAGGTGGAGTCTCAGTTTATTCTCCAGCAGAGTCACTATGAAAAATCAGGTTGAAACATAAAGTCACTAGACTAAAGTTCTACTGAGTGAATCCAATGATTCTGTTGAAATTAACAGGCTTTGCTGAGAATCGTTGCTGAAGCTCCACCTGACACATGAAGAGAAAAATAATGATTTTCAACAACTGTAGCAAGTTCTGCTGAAATTAGCTCATAAGCTAAATCATATTTCTGTAAATGCTTCGCTTCAGTCCCCAAATTCTGTTTTGCTAAAGAGCTAATGACCAAGTTAGTGTTAGCTAGCTTGACAAAAAAGGAATCCACCTTTATGCCAAACATTAGCTAATATTCAATTTGATGTGATTCGAGAATTAATCTAAAAAAACTCCAATCCTGAATCCAAGAGATGATATCGCCAAGATGTGAAACGATTAACATAAAATTCAAGTCTTAAAAACTAAATGACATCAGTAGAATCTGAAATAAAAACAGATCCAGGTCAGAGCAGCTAAACACAACAAAACTAATTAACTACTCAAGTAAATTGTCATTAATAACCTGTTATTAATAAGCTGTTATCTGACCTCTACAAATCATCAGGCTCATCCACAATACAGATCAAACATGAGCTTCTGGCTACATTACAGCTAACATTAGCATGCTAACATGAGCCGTCACCACGCTGTACTTTCAGTTAATATTGGATTTACATGTTGGTTTGGGACAGTTTGAAGTGAGTTAACATGATAACAGTTATAAGAAAATAACATTTTTCCCTCAGGTTTGTGACAATCACTGAGTTTACAAGTTGGGCTAAACTAACATTAGCCTGTTTGCAAAGAAGAAAGAAAAATTATGGAATTGATGATTAAAATAGATTTTACCACTGAAAATATTCTTCATATAAATAAATGTCTGATGAAATAATAATATTTTGCTCAATGATGTTACCAGAGCTGATGAGTTATTAATTAGAGCTCCTGATGCAGGGAGATGGAATGGAGGGAATTCAGTTTTTTTTAAATGAATAAATTGACAGTGAAGCTAACAGCAGCTGTGCTAATGATCCAGTGTTAACATAAAACTGCAGCTACATATTGTTCATGTTCATGGTGCTACAGCAGCATCACAAGACTAAGTGAAATAGCAATTATAATAATAACACTACTGTAATGATTAATGTCATGACGACTGTGAAGCTGCATCATCATCATCATGATCATCTGACATATAATTAATATTGATTATGATTCAGTCAGTGATGAGGTATGATGAGTGATCACTGACAGAGGCCGCAGTTAATGGGGTTCCTCAGGGTTCTATTCTTGGTCCTTTATACTTTCCTCCGCACACTGTCAATTTCTGAAGCATTTCCTGGACAGTAAACGCTGCATGCAGCTGCAGCTTCAGTGAGCTCATATAAAACCTTAATGGAGGGAGAGCAACCAATAAAACCTGTTTTCTCCTTTAACCTTCTGGTTAGACAAACATTATGAAGCTGACAAACTCACTTTGTAATCAATCAGTCAGTGATGAGATGTCATCTGCAGTAACAGGCCTTAATGTTGTTGAGGTTAAATGATGAGTGTGGTTATAAACTGACCTGATCATTCTCCTCAGGTTCACAGCTCAGGAAATCAGGTGTGTCAGGTGAGACAACAGGTGGCAGTTTGAAGTGACAGGTACAGGAAGTATTTGGCTTAGCTTTTTGGAACCCTTTAACGTTTTGGGAAATGCAGAGTTCTTGTTTGCTTGTTAATTTCTTAAATTCCATCCAAGCATCAGACTCAGCAAGAACCTAAAACTGTTTTCCAGATGTTGAACTACTTTTCATGAAAACTGCAGTGTGATGACAAACCAAAGACTTCCTCTGAATCCAGCTGATTAACCTGAACGAATGACACTCACTAATGATCTGGGTGAATTGTTTTTTTTTTCTTTCTCGTTGTTGGGCAGTTTTTCCTCAGCAGCGTCGCTGTGTTCACCTCAGAAAGAACTGTGCCTGTTTCCAACAGCTGTGTTGTTCTGCCTCAGCATTTTGAGGAGATGAATGTTAAAACTGTGAACACTAAAAATAAAGACTTCTAAAATCTCTGAAGTATCTTGTGTCAGGTACTAAGACTTGTAGTAATTCAAATGTCTCGTCAGATTGATGATCTTTTTCTAATTTAGTAAGTTTCTGTTTTGTCAAAGTCAGGGTCTGACAGTTCTCTGATACTTTACTGTGTTGTGTTAGTAAAAGTACCAATAATACTCCAATACAAGTAAAAATACTGCAAATCAAAATGTTCCTAATAAAGTAAAAGTCGAGTATAATCTGCTTCATGTAGTTAAAGTAGATTAGAAACAAACTGCCTGGTGACAGTTATGAAACTGTTAATGACACATTTTGTTTTAGATACCCCCGTTAATATCACAGACTGTATATGGTTATTATGTATTTTTATCATGGATGTATAATAAGACCATGTAATGAGCCCGAGCCTCAGCCTGAGGTCTCCAAGCTGCCCTGCATCATTGTCTGCTCCTGTTAACTGACCTTTTCTGTTTAACCTTTTAAAATACTGCAATTTACCAGTAAAACCCTCGAGTGCACTTTGAATAATTTCAATAAATTATTGATACATTTTCTATTTTAATTTTAAAATGTAGTTTGTGTTTGGATTATTTTAAAAACTTAGTTCAAAGTCACTAATGTTTTTAAGTAATACTTAAAAATTGTGTTTCTTTCCACACAACTGACATGAACACTAACAACAATGACATACAGCACTTTTGAATGCAGTGGCTGCTTTATTGGAATATATTATGGTCAGCAGCCTTTCACATACTGCAGTATATAACAGCAGGACCACAGCAACAGGCAGACCAGCCTTGGAAACACTTACATAAAATATCTCAGTATGTCGTCGCTTCGAAACGCCCGCACTCCCGCCCTCTGACGCGCGCTGATGACGTTCTTCCCTAACAACAAGCAGAACGCTTCTTAGCAACGGGCTCCTGAAGCGGAAGGTAAAGTTTTATATTTGTCTTAAACTAAACACGAGTTTCGTATCGGACCCTTACCTCCAGGTGTTTGCTATAAGACACAGGTGTAACTCCTGACATCGTTTTCTGTTCCCGCCCTTTGCCAGATCAAGAGTAAACAGAAGAAGACCGAGTCAGACAGATGGATGAGACGGTGAAACCCCTGAGGATTCCTCCACAGATGTCAGTGTACGCCGACAAACACACCATTTTCCACCTGGTGCAGGTAAACAACCAGGTGATAGATAGATAGATAGATGGATAGATAGATAGATAGATAGATAGATAGATAGATAGATAGACAGATAGATAGACATGACTGGGATCAGGTGACTCACTGTGTGTGTGTGTGTGTGTGTGTGTGTGAGTGTGTGTGTGTGTGTGTGTGTGTTTTTTCAGAGCATGGTGTCCAGTCTGGTGATTGATCAGCCTGATGATCCGATCCCCTACCTGATCGGTCTGCTTCAGAGGAGCAGTGTGGACAGTAAGCAGACACACCTGAACCTCATGTGAAATGTGAAATGATCACAGTGATCAGTTTGTCTGGAAACAGACGAGCTGCCTGTTGCTGCCACTAGAGGGAGCTGTGACTCTACAGAGACCGAAGGCTGCTCTGAAAACACACTTAAGTTATAATCACCAGCCATGACTGTGTGTGTGTATGTGTGTGTGTGTATGTGTGTGTGTGTGTGTGTGTGTGAGTGTGTGTGAGTGTGTGTGTGTTTTGAGTACTTTGACAGGTGTTACTGTGTCTCTCCCTCTCTTGCTCTGTCAGTTCCCAGGATCATGCTGCTCGGTCCTCCAGCTGTTGGGAAACACACTGTGGTGAGTTTGATGTTGTAAGTGCTTCACATGAAAAGACATACGATCAACATTGAAACATGTTAAAACATTAAAGGTAGAATAATAATAGAATACTAATAGAGGAAAACTAGAATCACCTTCTCGTGGTCGTATCCCTCCACCTCTCAGACTGGTTTCTGGCTACATCCCTGTTTATCCAGAGTCAGACGAAATATGAGCCATTCAAGTGAAATTTTGTCATAATTACTGTGAAGTCTTGAACAACGACTAACAAGTGTTCTCTTCTCACGTTTGTGCCAAATGTGAAGGGATTCCCTCGAGGAGTTCTTGAGATGTTCTGTTCACAAGGCCAAAATCATGTTTTGTGAGGTCAGCGTGACTTTGACCTTTGACCTTTGACCTTTAGCCACCAAAATCTAATCAGTTCATCCTTGAGTCCAGGTGAATGTTTGTGCCAATTATGAAGAAGTTCCTTCATGGTGTTACTGTGATATTGTGTCCACGAGAATGAGACGAACAGACAACCTGAAAACAAAATGGCCGCTGTGTGGAGGGATAAAATCAAAGCGACATCGTGACCATAAAACATAATAGACGAAGTGTATAATATATTATTGTGAATATGAATATGAAAAGAAGAAATAAAAGAGCATCAAATCAGTGAGACATCTAGTATATTTCCAACAGCATTTACAAGCAGCTGCTTCTACACCACGTGACTATAGAACAATGGTTAGAGTGAGGGAGGATTTATTGATGACTTGTACACGACTAGTTTTGATAACAGACACTGGTAACGACGGCCATTTTGTTTTTAGTTCGTGTGTCACGATATCTCAGTAACGCCTTGATGGAACTGCTTCAAATTCGGCACAATCATGCACTTGGACTTAAGGATGAACTGATTACATTTTAGTGGCTCAAGGTCAAAGGTCAAGGTCACGGTGACCACAAAACGCTGTTTGGGCCTTGTGAGCGTGTTAACTCGAGAACACAAAAAGTGTTTTGGCAGAGGCAGACAACCGCGGCTGTGATTCTAGTTTGTTTGTTTATTTGTCTGCTGCTTTGTCTGATGTGTTTATGTTCCTTAAAAAGTGAAAATGTACCTCGAGAGGAAATGTGATTGTGTGTGCAAATGAAAACTTCATAAACACTAAAGTTTCCAAAAAAAAAGAAAAGTTTCAGCATCGTCTGGGAAATTAATTATTTGACTTTATGACCAAATATTATTAACACCATGTGGATTCTTCAGTGACGCAGGTGAAGCTGTGACTTACGTATTTCTTGTTGTGTGGTTTTGCTGTTTACCCACTGCTTCATTGTTGTGGCTGTTGTATTTCCGTGATTCAGTCTGTGTTGTTATTGTGCGGCCGAGCAGGTCACATCATCTCTTCTTCTTCTGTGGTGGTTGCTGTTGTTGTCGTCCTTCAGGCCAAAAAGCTGAGCGCTGAGCTGAGAGCTGTTCATGTGACCACAGACACTTTACTGCAGGACCAATCAGAGCTGAGCGTTCAGGCTCAGCAGCACACACTCACACAGCAGGTACAGAGACACACACTACGACCAATCAGGACTCTGTAATCAATGATAAGTGTGTGTGTGTGTGTGTGTGTGTGTGTTTGAGAGAGATTACCTGATTCAATAAAGAGTCATTTATGAATGTGTGAAAGAGGGTGGGGTCAGAGGGCGTCATGTGACCCTGTGACTGTGTGTGTGTGTTCAGGAGCTTCCTGCTGAACTGCTGATCAGACTGATTGAACAGAGACTGACTGAGGTCGACTGCTTCAACAGGGTGAGTCTGTTCACACATCTGACGCACATCTGTTTGTCCCGGTCCAAGACACATCTGCATCATGATGACCGACAGCAGCAAACATGACAAACATCACTAACACTGTGCATCATTACATGGTCTCTCTCTCTCTCTCTCTCTCTCTCTCTCTCTCTCTCTCTCTCT